CCCCGACGAGGGTGAGGCGGGGCGCTTGAGCTACCAGATGGAGGCGCTATTCGACGAGCGCTCTAACGGCTACTTCCTGATCGACGGGGCCACGGGCGCTGTGAGCACGGCCCGAGAGCTGGACCGGGAGACCAAGGACACGCACGTGCTCAAGGTCAGCGCTGTGGACCACGGCACGCCGCGGCGTTCAGCCGCCACCTACCTCACCGTCACGGTCAGCGACACCAACGACCACAGCCCAGTCTTCGAGCAGTCTGAGTACCGTGAACGAGTGCGCGAGAACCTCGAGGTGGGCTACGAGGTGCTGACCATCCGTGCCACTGATGGCGACGCGCCCTCCAACGCCAACATGCGCTACCGCCTGCTGGAGGGCGCGGGCGGCGTCTTCGAGATCGATGCGCGCTCGGGCGTGGTGCGAACTCGGGCGTTGGTGGACCGGGAAGAGGCGGCCGAGTACCAGCTGTTGGTAGAGGCCAATGACCAGGGCCGCAACCCGGGCCCACTCAGCGCCACAGCCACCGTGCACATTGTGGTGGAGGACGAGAATGACAACTACCCTCAGTTCAGCGAGAAGCGCTATGTGGTCCAGGTGCCGGAGGATGTGGCCGTCAACACAGCGGTGCTTCGGGTGCAAGCCACCGACCGGGACCAGGGTCAGAACGCGGCCATACACTACAGCATCGTCAGCGGCAACCTGAAGGGCCAGTTCTACCTGCACTCACTGAGCGGAAGCCTGGACGTGATCAACCCGCTGGACTTCGAGGCCATCCGGGAGTACACGCTGCGCATCAAGGCCCAAGATGGCGGCCGACCACCGCTCATTAACTCCTCGGGGCTAGTGTCTGTGCAGGTGCTGGATGTGAATGACAACGCCCCCATCTTCGTGAGCAGCCCCTTCCAGGCCACCGTGCTGGAGAACGTGCCGCTGGGCTACTCGGTGTTGCACATCCAGGCAGTGGATGCGGACGCGGGAGAGAACGCCCGTCTTCGCTATCGCCTGGTGGACACGGGCTCAGCTGCCTTGCGGGGCGGCGGTGCTGGGCCTGAGGATCCCGACTCCACCCTGGACTTCCCCTTCCAAATCCACAACAGCTCGGGCTGGATCACTGTGTGCGCGGAGCTGGACCGCGAGGCGGTGGAACGCTACAGCTTCGGGGTGGAAGCGGTGGACCACGGCTCCCCGCCCATGAGTTCATCCGCCAGTGTGTCGATCACGGTGCTGGATGTGAACGACAACGACCCGGTGTTCACCCAGCCCCTGTACGAGCTGCGTCTCAACGAGGACGCCGCCGTGGGGAGCAGCGTGCTGACTCTGCAGGCCCGTGACCGTGACGCCAACAGCGTGATCACCTACCAGCTCACCGGGGGCAACACCCGGAACCGCTTTGCACTCAGCAGCCAGAGTGGTGGCGGCCTGATCACCCTGGCGCTGCCCCTGGACTACAAGCAGGAGCGGCAGTACGTGCTGGCCGTGACCGCCTCAGACGGCACGCGTTCACACACCGTGCAGGTCTTCATCAATGTGACGGACGCCAACACCCACCGGCCGGTCTTCCAGAGTTCTCACTACACCATCAGTGTCAACGAGGACCGGCCTGTGGGCACCTCCATTGCCACCATCAGTGCCACTGATGAGGACACGGGTGAGAATGCCAGGATAACCTACGTACTAGAGGACCCTGTGCCACAGTTCCGCATTGACCCCAACACGGGGACCATCTACACCATGACAGAGTTGGACTATGAGGATCAGGCTGCCTACACGCTGGCCATCACAGCCCGGGACAACGGCATCCCTCAGAAATCGGACACCACCTCCCTGGAGATCCTCATCCTGGACGCCAATGACAACGTGCCCAGGTTCCTGCGGGATTTCTACCAGGGTTCTGTCTTTGAGGACGCTCCTCCATCCACCAGTGTCCTCCAGGTTTCCGCCACAGACAGGGACTCGGGGCCCAATGGTCGTCTGCTATACACCTTCCAGGGCGGGGACGATGGTCACGGGGACTTCTACATCGAGCCCACTTCTGGAGTGATCCGCACCCAGCGCCGGCTGGACAGGGAAAATGTGGCCGTGTACAACCTTCGGGCGCTGGCTGTGGATCGGGGCAGCCCGGCTGCCCTCAGTGCCTCGGTGGAAATCCAGGTGACTGTCTTGGACATCAATGACAACCCCCCAGTGTTTGAGAGGGACGAGCTGGAGCTGTTCGTGGAGGAGAACAGCCCAGTGGGGTCAGTGGTGGCCAAGATTCGAGCCGATGACCCCGACGAAGGCCCCAACGCCCAGATCATGTATCAGATCGTGGAGGGCAACGTGCCCGAGGTTTTCCAGCTCGACCTGCTGAGTGGAGACCTGCGTGCCCTGGCTGAGCTGGACTTCGAGGTCCGCAGGGACTATGTGCTGGTGGTACAGGCCACGTCGGCGCCGCTGGTGAGCCGGGCCACCGTGCGCATCCACCTCCTGGACCAGAACGACAACCCTCCAGAACTGCCCGACTTCCAGATCCTCTTCAACAACTATGTCACCAACAAGTCTAACAGCTTCCCCAGCGGTGTTATTGGTCGCATCCCGGCCCATGACCCTGACCTCTCAGACAGCCTCAACTACACCTTCCTGCGGGGCAATGAGCTGCACCTGCTGCTGCTGGACTCTACCACGGGCGAGCTGCAGCTCAGCCGGGATCTGGACAACAACAGGCCCTTGGAAGCGCTCATGGAGGTGTCTGTGTCAGGTGAGTGGCCTGCGAGGGAGGACCGGCTCCCCATGGGCCGCTGGGGGATACTTGGGGACCCACCAGGGTGGCCAGGCGTCTGCTGCCTCTGTTGGATGCTGGGGCGTGACCTGGCTGGCCATGGAGAACGGTGCCCACTGCTTGGCTCAGCACTTTTGCAGGGAACAGGCCTGGGCTTCTTCAAGTTCAAGTGCCGGGCTCCCCGGGCCTCGTCCTGAGTCGTGCAGTTAGGGCCTGGCTTCAGGGTTTGCTGGGCTGTCTGGTTCACTTGGTGATCCTTTTTTGGTCAGCTTGCCACACGCACCGCTGTCTGGAAGGATCAAAGGTCACTGCGCGCCCCATGTGCCAATTAGTTCCCGGGTGGGACCGTTGGAAATTACCTTCCAGTTCCTGAGTCACCCTGTAATACGCCTGCTCTTCCCCGAGTCTGGCGTTTCTGTCTCCTGCAGATAATAACAGCAGTCGGTTCCTGTGTGCTGTCTCTGGGGCAGCTCTTTGAAAAGCAGGGCCCTGTTTGATCTTGGCTCCGCTTGGACGAGGGCTTGTAATTTGGGAGCTGTTTCAGAGCCCGCCCTACCTGGTGGTGGAACTGGTGTGAGAACCCAGCTTGCTGCTCTGGGGCTGGGACAGCACCAGGAGAGGAGGGGCAGCTCAGCCCCAAAGGCTGGGCAGAGATGGATGGGCCCTCCACCCTGCTGGCCCCTGGGTGCCTGGGCAGCCTGCAGTGCTGGGCACGGCGACAGCAGAGGACATGGGAACTGGAGACACACGGGAGGGGGCGGGACTGGGCAGGGATGGGGACGGGAGTGCACCCCTGGTGGCTCTGGAGGGGCCTTCCTGCTCCCCCGTCCTGGTTGTGAGGACTGGTGAGGGCAGCAACCTTATTTATAACACCAAAATGCTCTCATCTCAGATGACTGCACATCTCAGATGAGCTGTTCAGACAATAAATAAACAGGGTACAGTTTGTTGTGGGAGCGCTGGAAGAAGGGAAAAGTCCATTTTCTGACTGGTCTTGACTGGAAATTTTATGCCCAAGTGGGCAGCCTCTAGCTCTGCTCATCTCCTGACATGAGCAGAGACTCACAAGTTCGGTTTTGGTGTCATGCAACACCTCCCCGGCGTGGTTTTGGCTGTACAAGGTGAGTATTGTAGGTTGTGTGAAAGGCAGATGCGTAGAGAATATAGAGTAGGCGCTTAGGTGGGGACACACTGTTCCCGGGGTTGTGGAGACTCCTGGGACGTTTGTTCCCCTGTGGCTTTGTGTTTACTAGATAAAGCAGCGCGCAAACTTTGGTCTGCATAAAACCACTTGGCGAAACGTTAGTGTTTAGATCTTTGTGGGGACGTGGTGTAGGAGCGGGACAGGCCTGTGCTGGGGCAGGGGCGTTTGTGTGTCTGTGGCGTCCCTGGCATGCACCCTGGGGTGCGTGGACAGCAGGTGTGGGTGGGCCTAGTTGGCAGGAGGCCCATGCCCTGGACTTTGGTGTTGGTGGGCCAGGGGCTCACTGTGCCCGGCGATGGATCCCCACCATAGCCCCTGCCGTGTTTCTTGGCAGTGGCCCTTGGCTGACCGTCTGGCATGAGTACCCAGGAGCACTCAGACCGGAAGCAGCTTTCCAGACTCTTGCCCTTACACTGCTGTTTGTCCTTCTGGGTAACTGGAGGCCTGTGGGTGAGGAAACGGAGGCTCGGGGGCCCTAGGTCACTTTCCCAGGATCGCACAGCCATCGTGATTGCTATGAAACAAGCCCACCTTTCATCACCTCAGGAAAGGCTTTTGAGGAATTAGTTGTGAAACGGATCATTTCACTGTAAGACAGGTGGGAATGCTGTGCAACCTTCAGACCCCGTGACTGCTTTTTAATGCACCAAGGAAGCAATGAACTTAGCGAAAGCCAAGACCTGCAGGTCCAAACAGCAGAGCCCTGGGTGGAAACCACACCAGCACAAGAGCTCATCCCGGGGTGAACCAGAGGCAGACTCAAGTTTTATTAGGGAACAATGTGGGAAAGCTGTTGATTCAAACTCACCACTGTTTTCAGTGCTGCCTAATTGGCATAGCAGGATTTACAGCCCTACCCTAAAGGCTTTGATGCATTATTACTGCCCTGGAGGTGGGGCTGTTAGGTTCTGTGGGGGACTGTGGGCCAGGGCTCAGCGTAGCATTCTCCAGCACACGTTTTCAGAAAGACTGTGCTGTCTGAATGTGGTGAAACGCAAATAACTGCCACTTTGAAGGCCATCCAGCCATAGAAGGTGCTCATCTTGTGTGTGATATTTTTGTCTTGTTGTGTGACATGTCTGAGTGACGTTTTCAATCCTACAATAGGGACTTTTCCTTATGTGCATTTATAAAAGCTGTTTGTATTGGCTTTTTTGAGATAGGGTCTTGCCTTGTAGCTCAGGCTGCTTTGAACTCTCTGTGTAGCCCAGATTCCAACTCTGGGTGATCCTCCTGCCTCAGTCTCCCATTACTTATAGCCAGTGACACTGATGTTTTTAATTCTCCCGGACCACGTGCGTGCCTCGGGCTTGGGGCCCTGGCCATGCCTTATGGACACACTGCTGGTCAGTCCCTCCTTAGGATGCATGTTATAGACCAGTGGATGCGGGAGAAGCGGCGTTTGAGGGGTAGAGATGATTGGTCAGTGAGTCATTCAGACGCGTTAGAAAATACTAAAACTCAGCGCAGTAGTGAGATTGAGTAACCTTTTCACTGTTTACTTTGGAGGGCAGTGGATGGTATGAAGTCGTCTGGGCTTGATAAAGTTTTAACAAGTATTTGCCTAGTGAAAAGCAGGATACCGAGGTGACTTTTAAATAGAAGATTACAAACAAGGAAGTGTGGAACTGAGCAGTTCCAGGCCTCGTCCAGTGTCACATTTCCCCCAGACCCGCAGGTAGCGAATCAAGCTGGCTTCCCAGAATGACACGGGCGGTCCTGGAAGAGTCAGGTGCTTTTGGCAACTAGTTAACCATTTAAGGGCTTGGGTAACTCTGGAGACTCGTTGCTTGGCCGTACTCTGAGAAACAGGAGGGTTTATTCACTTATTGAGTGCCGGCTGTACCCGAGGCCCTGGGAAGCCAGCGTGGGCTCTACCTCCTGCGGGTTGGGAGGACAGGCAGTTGGATGAACAGGGAGCTGAGTTCAAGGGCAGGAGAGAGACTGGGAGTTACTGACGCTGGTGTGTAAAGGGCGTGGTTGGAGGGGAGCAGGCTGTGTCGGGATCCTGGCAGCTTATGTTGGGCAGATTAGGGGTAAGCGCCACCCAAGTCCCAGGTACTGCAGCTGGGCCTGTCACTGTGGGCAGGGAGGACAGAGGGCTGAGGGGATCTGGTGGCCGGATGCAGTGACCATGGTGGCGTGAGCTGAGCTGAGCCACCATGTTCCCTGTGGCAGAAAACTCTCCTGACTCTGCTGTCTCAGCACATTTGTCTTTCTCCTGCCGCAGCTGCCTCGTGATCTGGGCAGCCGGGCACCTCTTCTGTCTCAGAGATGAGCAGACCAAGGGCGTGCCCTGGGGACCCTGCTTTGGGCAGCAGGCACCCTGGGCGGAGGATGTGGGCAATGAGGATGGGGCCCAGTCTCACCTCGGAGCTGTGGCCCACGTGGGCTGTGGAGTTCTGGGATCGACATTGGAGGACAGAGATGACTTGATCAGGCCATGGCAGGTCCATGGGTCTCTTCAAGAACCGGAATGGTGGGTACCAGGGAGCCTCTCTGAGGAGCAGGGATAGAGTTGCCATGTAAGTTGGGTGTCGACGAGGCCAGAGCTCAGAGGGAGCCACCAGGACCACGGCCCAGGCGAGGGCTGGGGAGAGGTTGGTGGGTCTGTGTGCACACGCATCCCAGCCTGTCCTCCACTTATCTGTGCAAGTGGCACCTCTTGGGGCGCTGGTGTGGTAAAGTGGCGGGGAGATGGGACCCTGGGAAAGCATCTGGAGCCCTTGGCAAGAACCAGTCAGGAGGGGGCTGCCACAGTCACACCCAGAAAGGGGCCCGTGTATGTGTGTGCAGTCAGAACTGGACCCAGGACCTGGTGTCACTGACCAAGAGCCCACTTGGGTTTGGGTAGATGCAGACTCCTGCGTGCCCCAAAACTTGGTGCAAGAAGCCTGTTGAGGTGGGAGGTGGTGCCCCGGCGGCAGCGGAGTCCGGCAGTACTCAGTATGGGCCTCAATCTCGCTAATGCTTGGATTGGGACAGAGATGGATCTTATCTTGTGCGGCACAGCATGTAGAAAATACTCCTAAGTTCGGTGTTGTTGTTTCAGGTCATGGCCTCTGGGGGAAATAGTTCTCTAAGCTTTTTCTGGTTGTCCTGTAACCCGAACACAGGTTCATCTAAGTGCGCAGGGTTAAATTCCTGGAGATCCGGAGGCACTCGGAGTCACCAGCCTTTTTTAGTTCCACACTCCCTGGCTTCCTGTTGTTTTGTGGGGAGAATGTGTTGGAAGGGTATCAGGGTCTCCTGAGGACAGGGGTGGGCTGGGCTGTCAGGGCTCGAAGGACCAGCCTGGTGTTAGTGGCTAGTCATTTGCGGGGTGTGAGGTCCCCTCTGTCCCCCTGCTGCGGGCTGGGCCTGGCACTCGGCACACATGTGTGGATTATTTCTGGGATGGGTCAGAGGGGCACCCAGGGGAAGGGGCTGCCTGCCTGGCCAAGCATCCCAGGACACCTAGAGCCACCCAGCCCTTTCTGCCGTGCTGGGGGGCTGGCCCTGGGAAAAGGGCTGGACGTTTGCGAATTCGCAGTGCTTTTGCTTCAGGTAAGAACTTGCGGGTATCTTGCTAATCAGTTTGCCTGTGGGGTGTGGCATTCCCAAGCCGGCAAAGCCTACTCTAGCCCATTGTCTCTGTTTTCACATCAGATTTTTTTCTCCAAGTCCTACTGTAGACAAAAGCCAGGAGTTCTTTTTTAAATTTCTTTGTTTTTTGAGGTACTGGGGATTGAACTCGGGTCCCTGTGCTTGCTAGGCAGGTGCAGAACGACTGAGC